TTCCAGGCACTTCCAACCCTCTTTCTATATCTGTTATGGCTGAGTTCCATCTCTCTCCTACTCTTTTTTAATGACAACACTTCGTGGCCTGGGAAATAGAAACCCACATGCTTTTTGAGTTCTATTTGTACATCTGGAATTGGGGTTGATTCTGCACTCCTGGATCCCTGGGTGCTGGGTGGATGCAGGGGAAAGGAGTGACAGGACCCCAGACGTTTGTCCTTTTGTAGTGACTGATCCAGGAGGAGCCCAAATCTCCTGGCAAGATGAAAAGAGTGGGTGGAGATCTCTGTGTTTGGCCACTGAGATACTTTTTATAGAATGGTTTGGATTGGAAGGAAACCTAAAAATCATCTAGTCCCACCCCCCTGCATGGGCAGGGACACCTCCCACCAGCCCAGGCTGCTCCAAGCCCCATCCAACCTGCCCTTCAACACTGCCAGGGATGGGGCAGCCACAGCTTCCCTGGGCAACCTGGGCCAGGCTCTCACCACCCTCACAGCAAAAAATTTCTTCCTCATGTCTCACCTCAGTCTCCCTCTTCCAGTTTTAATCCATTCCCCTTTGTCCTCTCCCTCCCTGCCCTTGTCCCAAGTGCCTCCCCAGCTTTCCTGGAGCCCCTTCAGGCACTGGAAGCTGCTCTAAGGTCTCCCTGGAGCCTTCTCTTCTCCAGGCTGAACACCCCAACTCTCCCAGCCTGTTTCCAGAGCAGAGCTGCTCCAGCCCAAGGATCATCTTTGTGGCCTTTTGGTCAGGTTTTAGACCAGGAATTGCTGTTGTGCATCACATCTTGACAGTGCCCAGCTCAGAGGCTTCAAAGGATGCTGTAAGACCATGGCAGCAGGGAAATATGAGGAAATCCTCTTCCATATCATCCCCCATCTTGACCTTGAACAGATATCAGAATGGTCTTTGGGACCTGACATTTAATAAGACTCTTGAGGCCTCATTACGAGGAGCTGCAGCAGCTCTGGAAAGCCCTGGCAGGAGATGCTTTGTTGCAGAAATATTAGAACTTGGATGCTTCAACACAGAAGCTTCCTGGTTATGAACTGTGGATCTTCAAAGAGCTTTTTGACCAGGTTTTTGTCTGGCAGCTGCACTGGCTGCTACATTAGGAAACCTTTGAGTCTGCACATGAAAATACTTGGAAAATGATGACTCTCTGGCAGTGTGGTGACAAGCCAGGAGGAGACTGGATGTCACTCTTCAAAGGACCAGGACTTCTCCAGATTTTATTAGTTTGCAGAGGCCAACAAGGTTTCCACCCCTGAGATTGCAAAACCTTCTTGAATTTGCTCCTTTGACTTCTTTGCTTGGTAGGAATTTGTAGCCTAAGTGACCTCCTGGAGCTGCTGAGTGGCCAGGGAAGGGGGAAGATGTCATGACAGAAAGTGAGCCTGAGTTTGCTGACTCCACCTGGAAGAGGTCTGGTTTGAGTGGAAGTATTTGGGAAGGACTCACTTGACAGGCTGGATTTGCAGGGCTGGGGTTCTAGGATGAGGAACACGAGCTGGTAGGAAAAGGTTCTCCAGAGCTGGTGTTTGATCCTGTGGGTCTGGGGAACATCCAGCCAAGTGGGAGCTGAGAGCAGAGTCCAGACTTCATGGCTGAGCCTCCCCACCATGGGCTTGGGCCTCATCTCTGCCTCTTTCCCCCAAGCTTGAATGAAACTGGAGTTCATGTTCCTCCTGGTGGCCCTGCAGCTGGAAGGCTGATGGTGTGGAGACCAAGCAGCACCTTGAGGAAACCCAACTCCCCCTTCCTCCCCAGCCCCTCTGCTGTTGTACCACCAACTCTGGGAACTGAATACTCATCATTAGCCTCCAACAAACCTTAACCAGACCAGGGACAACTTCCTTCCTTGTAAATTCCTTCCCCAAGCAGCTTTTTTTTTCTTCTTTTTCTTCTAATTTTACAATCCTCAATGCAAAATAAAACATGCAGCCTGTTAACACCCCCATGGAAATCTAACCCACATTCTGGCCCAGGAACAACAGCCTCTTCCTCACTGTGTGGACAACTTCTCACATTGCCTGTGTAAGTCCAATTTTAACCCTTTCTCCCCCTCCTCTTTTCATCCCATTAAAGTGTGGCCCAAGTTTCCAATCAGCTGTTTTGGGGACTTTCAGGCACTGAAAACCAAGAAAACAAAAGGATCTGGTGCATTTTTAGAGGCTGAAGGACAAACTAAAGTGCTCGAGGTGTGTATGGAGGGGGCTGAGGAAACAGGATGAAGGTTTGGAGATGAATGTTGCTTTGCAAGGTACCAAAGGTGTCTCTTTCTTAGAGCTCAGCTCAAACAAGGAAGAGAAAGGCAGAAATACAGAGGTAACTGCCTTTGTGGAGAGAAAAATGGCAAAGTGAAAGAAAGAGAGTAATTTAGATATTTAGTTAGAAAATACTTTCCTTCCTCTCCCTCCTGAAATAGCTGTTTTTTTGGCAAAAATAGCACCCAACATGTTTTGACTGAAATGGAAATATTTCAGTCTGGAGAGAAGTCATTGTGATACCTCCTGGGAACTGCTGTTGGGAAACTTGGTGTCTCCAACCTGTTCCCTCTCCAGCAAGACTCCCTGCTCCTGCAGAACACCATGGTCCTCCCTTATGGCCATGGAGGCTCTTGTGTCCCGTGGGAAATGCAGTCTGGAAGGGATTTGGTCACACAACAGGACCAGGCATCCAGCTTCTTTAGGGAGTTAAAATCATTTTTAATCCAGAAAAAAAAACCCCATTCAGGTCATTCAATTTCCCCCCTTTCAGATCTCCAGTGAGAAAGTGTTGAGTTAGGTGAGAAGTAGCTGGGATGGGAATGGCTGTGAGGATCTCAGGTCCCTTGGAGCCACCATGGGAATTTACTGGAAGAAACCCCCATGGGGATCTAATCCCACCTCCCAAAGATACATCCAGTTTTTCCCCTGTTGAAGGAGGGAGAAACTGGGTAAGAAGTCATCTCTACATCCTCCAAAAAAGCCCAGGGAACATGATGTGGCATCATGCCATGGAATGTCCCACCTTCTCCTCCACTGTAGCTCACAGGTACCAGACTGAAAAATGACTGAGGCTCTGGCATTTCTTGGGGGATTGGGTGGTGGAGCTGAGGAAGAAGGAACCAGCCAATCCACGTAGCAACCTCTCATCAGGGAGGAGACCTAAGGGCAAGATCCATGGGTCCCCTCCCTGCAGGTTGTCTTCTCAGGAGGGGAACGTGGTGGAGTTGCAGCTTTGGGGTGTCATTGGCATAATTTCCGTGAGGATGGCTGCTTGAAGGTGGAGCAGGCAGCTCAAAACCATGACCTGGCAGGGCTGGGAGATCCCCTAGAAGTTAGAAGGTTTGAAGGTCACTTATGAGGTTTGAAAGCCATAGCTCTTGATCCCCCACAAAGCCACCAAATCTGCCCTCCAGCAGGGAGATGCTTCCCCAGGCAAAGAAGTCCTCTGGAGACCACCACATCTATTGCTGTCTTGTGTATCTTAGGGAGAAGTCTCTGCTTCCCCCCATTCCATCTCTTTTTTTTTTGCATCTCCTTGTGCACAACCTGGACTTCAGCTCTGGGAAAGTCCTCCAGCCCAAGCTGGTGGGAAGCCATGGTGCTGCCAGCTCTGCAGGGAGGAGCTGTTGGGCTTCCAGGGGAAGAAACCCCACCTTTGGAAGAGGTTCTCCTTGGCAAACCACCAGTGCCCAGGGTTTGGAAACTTCCCATGGCACAATGAGAGACACATTTCTTTGGGTTTGAGCTCCTGGGTGAGTTTCTCCTCTGTGGCAGCTCAGTTGCTGGTGTTTCTGGCAGCCACCACAGCAGTGGTTGGGATGGAAGCTCCCTGCTGTCAGGAGGTCTATGTCATTGGTATTGTTCCATTTCCTAAGTAAGTTCTGGGCTGCTTCAGTGATAGGTCTTCTTCAAGGGACCTAATCCAACTTTCAGGGCTCCTCCTCCCCATGGAAGCAGCCAGGTGAGCCTATGGGGATGGGATTGAAGGATTCTGTTCCAGCAGAATGACTTTGGGTAGGTGAGCAGGACACCTCAAAGCCAGCTTGGTCCAAAGGGTATAGCCCCAAAGGAAAAAACCTTCTGCTGGGATCTGAGTTGGTGCTTTCCCTGAGCCTGGTGGCACTTTGTGAGGTGCTGTTCCACATTTTAGCAAGTCCTTGGGTTCAGGGAGCACCCAGATGACTTGGAGACAGCCCAGGAGGAGGCTTTCACCTCACCTGAAGTCTCTGAGACCCCCACCTGGCTCCAGTTCTCCTCCCAGCAGAGTAGGAATAATTTTGTCCAGCTTGGAAAAATATCTCCAGAACACACTGTAGGGTCTTTAGGAGAGGGGTGGGTTTTCCAGCCAGTGTTGGCAAAGCATCCCTGCTTCAAACCAGATCTCAGGGGGATTTTCAGAGGGAATAAATTGGACTTTCCATCAGTGCTCACCCTCCCAGCCTGGCTCCTCTGAGGAACGTGGCTCCAGCATGGGTCAGGTCTTGGTGTTTGATTGATTTCTCTTCTCTGAGCTTGTCCTCTGGTCCAGGGTCCTGGGGGAAAGGAATGGGGACAAGTATCATCAGGTGAAAAACCAGACCTAAATATCGAATCCTTCTCCAAGTCACCCTGGCAGAAATGAGACTTTTATTTTGCCTGCACTTGCACATCTACATCTACAATAGCAATAGTGACTGATTCAAAATGTTATCATGATATATAAATGTAAACCTCGTGTATTTCACTCTAACTGCATCAGTCTGTTTGATGTATGGGTGTGAAGTAGCAGTTGTGGTGGCAGAGGCAGGAATCTGAAGGGAAAGACACCAGAAGGAAGGGGAAATAGAAGATTCCTGCAAGGATCAAACGTGACAGAGCTGAGGTCTCCTGGGAAGGATGTCTCTGCATCCCTGAAAATCTGAATAAACACCACGACCCTGATGTGCTGCCTTCATTTGTTAATTGAACGGTCTGTTTATTAATTGTTTTCCTGCCTTTTTGATCTCCCCCTTGTTCCTTTGCTTTCAGCAAAGAGTACCCGGTCGTTCCCAGGAGCACGGTGAGACAAAAAGTGTCCTCGAACCACAGCCCCTTCAGTGGAGAGACCAGGGTCCTTTCTGCCTCCTCCAACCTGGGCTCCCAGTACCAGTGTGAGAACGGGGTGTCCAGCACCTCCCAGGACCTGCTACCCCCTGCCAACCCCTACCCCATCTCCCAGGAGCATGGCCAGATCTACCACTGCACCAAGAGAAAAGGTCAGACCTTGCTCGGCGCTTTCCCCTTCCTAACGTGATTGTCGGTGTCTTGTTTGGATGTGTCCCCTTGTCCCCAGGCTGGCCAGCCCCAGCCTGCTTGATGCTTGAGCTGGAGTTCCCCCAGGCTGGGCTGGGAAGCTCCTTTAACTGGTGATAGCCTAAAATCCCATCCCTGCTCCCAAGTGTCCCGAGGGGTGACGTTGTTCTTCACCCACGTTGAATCCACATGTGGTGAGATACTGGGGCAGGAGATAAAGATGGTTTATCTGTCTCCATAGCCCCTCAGACAGGGTTAATCTCCAAGTGGAGATACCTTGGCAGCTTGGGTTTGGTAGTTTTTTGAGCAAGAGTCTCCCAGCTGGGACAGAGTTGTCCATAGGCAGGAGACAATTCCACTGGAATGCCCGGGCTGAGGGATGGGATCTGGGATTGGCAGTCATGGTGGTTCCCCTCTGGTGCCACTGACCTGCAGATCAGACTGGGAAGGGTTCACACTGACTGGTCAGCTTGTCCTGGAGTGAAGAGTCCTGTGATACCAGCAGGCAGGAGCCAGGGGGTTGCAGTCTTTCCCTTCCTCTCCCAAAGCAGCGGGAATGCC